ATATAAATAAATAAATATATAAACACACACGCACACACACACACACACACACACCCAGCAGAACAGAGGAGAGAGAGTTGATTTACTTTGAGAATATGATAGTAACTTGAGAAAAAGCATAAAAACCTCCATCTTCATCTTCTTATCTGTAGTTGGGGTGGTGATGTCAGAGGTCCAGGAAACAATTCAGATATCCATCTCCCCACCCAGCTACACTCTCCAGCTCTTCCTGAGGGACCCAGTACACCTTCCAAGGTCAGAGAAGATATACAATCTCTTCAGCAAGTTTGGGTTTTCCCTGGGGCCTCTTACTAGTGGGATGTGCCCAGAAAAACTTTAAAGGGAGGCATGCAGGAGGCATCTTAATTAGATGCTCGAACCACCTCAACGGACTCCTTTCAATGCAGAGGAGCAGTGGTTCTACTCTGAGTTCCCCTTGGATGACAGCGCTCCTCACGGTCTGTAAGGCAGAGGCCTAGCCAGCATATGAAGGAAGTTCATTTTGGCCACTCGTATCCGAGAGCTTATTCTTCTGGTCATAATCTCGTGACCATAGGGGAGGGTCGGAATGTAGACACAGCCCAGTAAATTTAGAGTTTCACCATGACCAACTGAAGCAATGCCCTCATTACTGAGGGCGAGACCCCAATAGGTCTATCCATCATTCGCTCCATCCCAACAGACACTCTCCCCTACATGACTGCACCTTAAGATCCTACCCATGAACACCACAAACAGAACTGAAGAGACAGCCCAGACAGAGTCCAACCTGCATCAAGAATGCAGAAACAGCTCCTGTGATCATGTGATGAATAGTTGGAACACACTCTTTAGTCCCACTTTTTCAAAACAGAAACCACCACCCCGGTCTGCCTACCACTCCACAGGCATTGTCCCAGTCCTCCATGCAACACTGAAAAGACATGTCACGACAGCCCCACAACATCCAGAGCCTTCAGCATCTCAGGGCAAATCTTGTCCACCCCGGCACGCTGCCACCAAGGAGCTTTTGGACTACCTCGATGACCTCGACTATGGTAATGAACTTGTCTCCACACCACCCCCAAGTCCTCAGACTAGTCTAGCACTGAGACGTGTTCTGGCTGCCTTGGTCCATTCAGAAGACACACAGAGGTGGTGAAGGGGGGGGGTCAAAGGCACCCCACCTCTGAAACATTTCTGTGCTGCCAAGCACAGTAGAAACAGAGCCAAACCGGCTGACATGTGGGCAAAAATTAATTGTAAAACTGCGGTTCAGTAATGTGATGAAGTGATGACAATAGCCTGTGACCACTGGCTCACGTTTTAAAACAACAACAGATTTATTACTGAGGGAAAATCAATGACGCACAGTAACTTTATAGCTAATTTTGAACAAATATTTAACCACAAAGTGTATCCCTAAAGTGAATAAATTCAATATGTTTGTAAATGACATGAGGAAGACATCCAGTACACGTTTAACGTGTCAAAGCTTCATGACAACACAGCCGAGTTCTGCTCCATGCCTCTTCTGGTTCCATTCTACCAACAACATTTTTCAAAAATCACATCTGAGTGGGAAGTGGTCATCTTCATCAGTGATTTATGAACAGCTTAAGGAAGCATAAGGACCAACTGGTTTGTGTGGCCATTTTGTAGAATTGTCTTATGAAAGAACTCATTCATCCTTAAAGTCCAAGGATTTTTCATAAGAAAATTCTGCAAAATGGCTGCATAAATCATTTAGTCTTTATGCTTCCTCAATAATGTGTGGATAAATTAAGGAGCTCCTCAAAATGCTCCTTCCGAAAAATTTTCATAACGCTTCCAAATAGAAAACAGTTCACAAAAGAAATCTACCTATAACTTAAACAACACTGTATTCTTGATGACAAACATGTAGAACTATATTTGTCATGTTCCTTCAAAGA